CAGAAATGAACATTATTAATGTGTGATTTGCACAGCAAATCTGACACCAAACACACCATCACCACTCATCATCTCCCACCACCCATCACCATATGATCCTCAACACTATCATCAAACCGAACACTACCTGTGTAACTGCTCTCAGATAATCCATCACCAAGAAGAAGAGACTCTGCTGCATCTTCTCCCTTTGGTTCCACCCATAAATGTTTCCCTCCAATTTTGCTCAGCCCCTCCAATTCGGCCGCCACCTCCTTCATACTCGGCCGGTCGTCCCCTCTCACGTTCAGACAGATCCTCGCCAGCTCAGCAACTTCCATAACCTGCTCCTCGTTATTACCACCTTCCGTCACCACATCATCCGCCACAATTTGGAACAACAGCTTTTGCCTCATTACGGAAAGAAAATAATGCGCCAGATTCATCTCCTCCTCCGGCCTCTCGTAGCTCAAAGCCTTCATCCCCGTCAGAAGCTCGACGAGCACTACTCCAAAGCTGTAGACGTCACTTTTCTCGGTTAGCTGATTCGTCTGCATGTACTCAGGGTCCAAATACCCGATCGTCCCCTGCACCATTGTGGACAGTTGCGTGTGGTCCAACGGGACCAATTTCGAGGCCCCAAAATCCGACACTTTTGCCGTGAACGTCTGGTCCAGTAGAATGTTTGCCGATTTGACATCTCTATGTATGATAGGAGTGGAGGCCGAAGAGTGGAGGTAAGAGAGCACGCCAGCTGTCTCAGTCGCGATTTTAAGGCGCACGTCCCACGAGAGGGCTCGTGCCCTTTCCTTGTTGTGTATGTGTTGGAAAAGGGTGCCGTTGTTCATGTACTCATACACTAGTAAAGGCTGTTGCCTCTCGAGACAGCAGCCGAGGAGCTTGACGACATTCCTGTGGTTAATTTGGGAGAGGACGAGTACCTCGTTAGCAAACTGGTCGACTCGGCTTGGGTCGATTTCGACTTTGGACTTCTTGATGGCGACTATTCTCTTCTCCGGCAAGATGCCTTTGTAGACGGTGCCGTAGCCACCTTGGCCGATGATCATGCTGCTGCTGAAGTTGTCGGTTGCCTTTTTCAGCTCGTGTTCGCTGAAAATTTTGATGGCGTCCGATGAGGATGATGGCCCGCCTGTACCGTATAGTTTTTCCTGCAGCATAATGCCGCCGTTTTGGATGTAAAACTCTTGTCTCATTTTGATTAACCTCTTTCTCTTGAGTTCCAAGTGCAACCAGCAACTGGCTAGTAGGAGAAGAGTTACCCCTACAGCAATACCTGAAGGAAAATGTTCATTTGTAAGTCATTATCAAGAGAATATCTAAGGTTGATTGACCACACTTGAGATAAAGTGCCTACTTTTCAATCGAAGCAGAAAAGGAAGAGTGAATGAAAGAAACCTGAGGCAATTCTGAAAATAAGCGATTCACTGGGTATGCAACCTTTTCCATCCTTTTTGCCGTCGCCATGGTAACCACTGGGACACAAACAGCGATAGCTCCCTACTGTGTTCTCGCATTCCTTTTCGCAATACATGCTTTTATTTTGGCACTCGTTTATATCTGTGACACGATAATGTTAATGACTAACAAATCAACAATATCAAATCAGTGGGAAAAAAATGATTGTCAGTTTATACACCCAAATCTCTTTACAAAAAACACCGGGGAATTTGAGCAGCGTAATGTACCTTGACAGCCATCTAGTTTGTATGGATTTCCTTCATAACCTTTGCTGCACTTACAGCGGTACCCATTAGTATCGTTACCAAGCATATAACACTCGGAATTCCTGCTCCTGCAAGCGTAGCTGGTGAGATCCTTTTTATCCTCCTCGCAAGTCCCATTCCCTATGGCCCAATCAACCACCATCGGCAGCTTCTCTGTGTCCCTCAACTTTGTAATATTCTCCGTGATTGCGCTTGGCTCCGTCACATAAGCGTAGCCACAGCTGTTGTTAGCGTTTATGTTGTCCTCGTCGTTGGTCAACAAAAACAACTCGACGTCCCTTGCCTGCTCGGGGATATTTGTCTGGCAGGAGAAACCCGATGCCACAGGCTTGCTGCTGTTATCGCAAGTGGTCCTGCACCCGCTCAGATAACTCTGGTTGAGCCGAACGCTCGAGAGGTAACCCGATATGTCACAGCCAACGATGGTTAACCGGTTGTGGGTGTGGCTGACAGTCATGTACTCGGGCAGCACTATCGAGGAGCTCGTGTACGAGAATGTATCGTTGCTTTCGTCTGACGTGTTGAATTCGCAGTGGCGCGTGATGTTGTTCAGGACCGTGAGCTTGCCGTCGAGGGAATATTCGTAATTTCCATCGAGGTGTTCGGTAGGAATGGCTTCGGGGGATTGAATGTTGTGTTGCAGGTGATAGAGAAACTCCGACTGTGGTAGCAGTCGGGTGTCATCCCGAAAGGGAATGGGATTTGTACGCCACCACATTTGTCGAGGCAGTTGGGATTGCTAGTCCCAACTGTGATGAGAATTGTGAGGAACACTACTGTGAACTGGATTTGTTGCAAACCTTGAAATACCATCACCATTCTTCTTCTTTCTTTGTTAGTTTCTTCTTGGATTCTGTATGTTTCTTGGTTTTTGTTTAGGTAATGTGTGTGTTTGGGTCCAATGGATGTAAGAGAATTGACCTGCAATGGCACCCTCCGTTCACTTAAAATGGAGGGAACATTCTTCTGTACCAATGTGGTGGGGCAGACCCTTCAAATCAAGAAAAATAATGGGTTTACACATGCTTTAGTAGCTGTAATGGCATTTTGTGATACATATTTGTGGGCCTACCTTTTATAATGTACTACTAAAGTGGTAAGCAATTTGATGTCCCTTAAGCAAGGTCTCGGGTTTGAGTCCTTGTAAATGCAGAAAACCCTTGTTGGGAGATTCACCTACCACTGTCAGATGTGCGACCTGGGTCGACCAACGAATTAGTCGGGGTATAGCTCCGGATACCGTGTTTGACTACCCAAAAAAAAAGTCCACGTGCTATTTATGTGGTAGTAATTGTTTTTTATCCATTAAGTTTATAAAATAAATTAATTAATTACTAAACATATAGTTGCAGGAATGAAATAAGATGTAGAACAAACGAGATCCACATGTTTATTTTTATTTTTTTAAATAAAATCCTCCTCCTCTTTATATATTAATCCAGAACGCGCTGAGCCTACGTGGCTGCTTTTGGTGCTTCGAAATCTTATGTGGCAAAATTACATGCTTCGTTATTAGGCTTGGGTAAATTTTAATTTAATTTCTAACAAAAAATAATTAGGTTCGGATTACCATAAATATGTTGATTATTATGGTCATGTTACATAATTGCATTTTAATATCATTCCTTATTATAACTATTGAATTGTATATGTATTTTAAAAGTTAATAACTTTTGTATTTTTTATCAGTTTTACATATGTAATATATCAAATTAATCTTCTTTTGATGAGCTTCGAGTTAACATCCATATTGTATGTATAAAAAAGTAAGTTGTATTTATCTTTATAACAATAATAAAATTATTTTTAATATTAATTAGAAAAATAAAATTATTTATCAACTAATATATTTATATTTCAAGTAGTTATATAATATAAGTTACAAAAACTAATATAATATAACACATGTAAGTCATAAGTAACACATATCATTCTAAAATATATATAGTAATATATTTTTTTTGTAAAAAAGTAAACTAAATTTAATATAGTTTTTTCATTAATTTTAAAAATTTAAAAATATTTTTTTAACAAGCACATGTGTAATACACGGGTGTTGTACTAGTAACATAATGATGTGATAAGATAAAAAGAAAGATTCAACATACTACAAGTTTACAATCCCAACAAAAATATATGAAAAATGGGTACCACATGAAAAAAATAATAATAATAACTAAATAACTAAAAAACACCTCATGTTTATTATAATGAATTATTTCTTTTTTTTTATTTATGTTAGATGATTCAAGATTGATTTATCTTTTTTTCATTTTCATTTTGACGTTTTCATAAGAAACACTCATACCTGTTTGAGCCCAATACATTAATAAAATTACAAAATTCTTCTTAATTCATTTAGCAAAACATCTATTTTATTGATAAGTGATTTTAATATTTGTAAGTGATTTTAACTTTTTTAAACTTATATTGGACAATAATATTAAAAACAATATTATTTGTGTTTAATGATAAATAAGTGTTATTAATTTGAATTTATAGTCTATAATATGAGGTATATGACACTCATTCTCTATTTTTTAATACAATGATACGCAATTTGAATTTTAAGTTTGGGACACTATTTTTATGAGCCGACGACTCTGCTCCTACCATGACACTATTTTTATGAGTGAAATGTATTCGATAAATATTATAATCGGAGGATGAGAGTACGGTCCCACCAGATGAATAGCACCATAGGAGGGTGACCTAGGTGCACCTTAGTGAGGTTCCATCCTAAAACTAATTGGTGATGGAAGAAGTAGTCCGTTAGGCTTATATACTCAATGTGGGACAACTCGCAAGTGATATTCCAACACGACTCCTCACTTATGAGTCCTTCGTAAGCTCAAGCCCACATAGCAGGTCGGGTAGAGAGTGTCATTGTAGGTCTTAGGATAGGCTCGCTCTGATACCATATTATAACTGGGGGAAGAGAGTGCGGTCCCACCAGATGAATAACACCACCATAAGAGGGTGCACGTAGGTGCACCTTAGTGAGGTGTCATCCCAAAACCAATTAGTGGTGGGAGGAGTAGCCCAATAGGCTTATATACTTAATGTGTGACAACTCACAAGTGATATTCCAACAATAAATCAAGTATCATTCATCATTGGGGAAGTATCTACATTTAAGAACCTTACTCATCAGTCTGTCAAAGTAGGTTAGCAGTCTCTACAACTGTTTCATTATGAGTGTCTCATTGAAAAGCTTTAGATCATGAAACCCAAGAGCCCCAAGCCCCTTAGGTTGAGCCAACAGATTCCAAGCATTCCAGTGAATGCCTTTCCCCCGATTTTTCCCTTTAGACCACAAAAAAGAAGCAGTTAAACTTGAGATATCTTTGCAGACGCTAATTGGTAATTTGAAACATGACATACTCAAGCACGAAAAGAGCATTAAAAACTGATCTAATAAGAACTTCCTTCCCAACTGATGAAAGAAACTTATTCTTCCAGCTTAAGAGTCTGCCTCTCACAACATTCAGAACAAAATAAAAAGCTTATGTATTTGATTTACCAATGCCCAGAGAAAGTCCAAGGTACCTAGTTGATTGATGAACTTGAATACCACCCACAACTCTGCAAATTGAAGATTGTATATGGCCAGGAATGTTCCTGCTGAAAAAAAAAAAATGAAGGATTTGTCCATATTTACTCTTTGCCTTGTGAAAGACTTGTACATGTCCAAGATGTCAAGCAACTTGTATGCTTGGTTAGGATCAGCCTTGCATAAAATTAAGGAGTCATTGGCAAATAGAATGTGAGAATCGTGAGATATCCACTAGCCAACCTCGTTGTTAATTAAAGAAGAAAACTCAACAATTAAAATAAAACAAACAATTTTTGTGTTATTGTTATTTAATTTTAAATATAATTTTTTTAGCAAGACCCCATATTGTACGGAATGTACTAATTTATAAATATTAATGAATAACTTTTACTCATGTTATCTACTACATTTATTGAGAATAAGCAAATGAGTGAGAAAATAGTTAAAGTTAGCTCTGTCACCTACCATTTCACACAGCTTTAAGCCCGTGAATTATGACTCCTGCTATGGATTGGGACAATAGATTTTTCTTTTTTTTTTTTTTTGCAACGATAAAATGCATTCATTAAAACACATAATTACAATCGGCTCATTGGACGGAATGGGAGGACAACCCAAGGAATTGGGTAGCCTAAATACCACAACGCACGCTACAACACGAGTAAGAAAAATAAAAACTCCCAACAGGAAAATACACGAACTCCCAACGGGAGAATAACACAAACAAAACACATAATAACACACCCCAACAAACACAAACAACACAACACAAACACAAAAACAATACACAAAAATTAAACTATAGCCCTACCCACAGCAACGCAACCAGGCAGACACCAATGACGCTGACACCTACGGGTGGCCACAATGGATTGCACTTCAACTTTTGTGCTTCTTTCCTATAAAATGGTAGTTTTATTTTTCATGGAAAGCATTTTAGGGGATGATTATTTATGTATATTCGGTTGTTTTTCAATTATAGTTATTTTCGAATAAAAGTGGTATAGTTAGTTGTTAGTAGATATATTATAATAATATTTAAATACAATATTTAAAGTAATTGATGTAAAGTAGGAAAAAAAATTATTGGAAGTGAACGTTAAAATTATGTGAGTGGATGAATAGTGAATTAAAGTTGATGTGATGTGTAAAAATAATTGGTTGATATTATTTAATTATAATGATAATTTTGAAGATAGTGAAATTTGGTTAAAATTGAGTTAAATTTGAGTTTTGTTTGATTTTTTCTTAGTTGGATCGGTAAACAATCACCTCCCTACTTTCCAGGAATAGAAACTTGCATTTAGGAGGGATTGTACTTGTTTTGGCCGATGTGGTGAGACTACCCTGCTTTTGCATATACTAGTAAAGTGCACGTGCGATGCACGTGGTGTCGAATGATTTTCATGGAGTAAGTTTGTAAAATAAATTAATTTATTTATTAAACATATCATTGCATAAATGAAGTAAAATATAGAAAAAATGAACTCATATGTGATTTTTTTATTTAGAATTAACATAATGATGTCCTCATATAAAAATAGTGAAATAACATTTTACAAACCCCAACAAAAATATATAAAAAAAAACAAATTCCTAATAAAAAAACACAAAGATTTTCTTTCATTTTAGTTTTAACGTTCTCATAAGAACATTCATAGTCGTTGGAGTCCAATACATCAATACTATTGCAAAATTCCTCTTAATTAATTTGGCAAAACACTTATTTTATTCAAACACTTAAGAAACATTCTGACCCAACATATAGTCAAACTTCATCATCGTATGATCTTTATAACAAGGTACTTCTACTAAGAAATGATAAATATCTCTATGAAATAACTAACGGTACCACTAAAATTGCTGATAGTTTTTATCACTGTATAAACTACTATATTCCTCTATCTCTAGATATATTGGTGTCTACCCCATGATGCATCGCCCCACGAGGTGGGAATGAATTTTATCTCCAAATAAAAGTTGACTTTCCAAAATCTTGGTTACATGTACTTCTCCCGAGGTGCTAAATTATTTTTTGAAATCATCATACATTACCTGAAAGTACCTCTAAAGTAATTGCACATATGTTCAAGCACAATACACCAATGAGATTATAAATATTTTTATAAAAAGTGACAACTTAATTCTAACATTCAAAACTG